TATTTTAAAGGATATTAAAATAGAAACCATTATTTTATATTGTAATAACATTTTGTAAGATTACTGTTTTTTTGTATTTTTGATCAAATAAATGCAGCCTTGATGAGCAGAAGTGACTTCTTTAAAAAACATTACAAGTCTTACTGATCCCAAACTTATGAACGGTAGTGTATATACAGTACACACACACACACACACACACAGTGCTTAACAATTTATTAGACCATCACCACCCATTGGTCCATATTCCTGTCTATCTGTTGAAATGTTGTATTTTTTTACACTAGCATATATAACCCATAACATGACCTTTGTCTTCACTTTGTCTCTCCAGCTCTTGGATTATGTTTCGACAACAATTTTCTTCTCTGACAGAAACGTCGACAGCAATTTGATTGCCTGGAATCGTGTCGTGTTACTTCACGGTAAGACAATAAAAGCTTGTTTGAAAGCTCAGCAGTTTCTGTCTTCTGCCATGTTTATACAGTTGCGTGTCTTTCCTAACCCCTCAGGGCCGCCTGGCACAGGGAAGACGTCTCTGTGTAAAGGACTTGCCCAGAAACTCTCCATCAGACTGTCTGGCAGGTGAGACACCTTCATAAAATCAAAAAGGCAGCTGCTGGGCGTCCCGTGTCATCATTATTTGTGTGTTTCCGCTCTAAACAGGTATGCACACAGCCAGTTCGTGGAGATCAACAGCCACAGCCTCTTCTCCAAGTGGTTCTCAGAGGTCCGTCTCTAGATCCGTCTGCTCTGAAACGCTTCCTCAGATCCGTGTCTGAAACCTCATTAACATCTGACTGCTTTTACAGAGCGGGAAACTGGTCACAAAGATGTTTCAGAAGATCCAGGAGCTCATCGATGATAAAGATGCCCTGGTGTTTGTCCTGATAGATGAGGTTCTCTGTTTTTTACATCATTAATGTTCACTCATGTCTTTTATTTTGTTGCATTTGACTCACCCTTGCTTAACAAAACCACTTAAACCAGTCTAAGGTGGTTTGTTGGCTCTTAAATCTGGTCTCTAGACTGATGGTTTTAGAGGAGTTTTGGGCACATAACAGCTGTTCAGACCGGTCTCCCAAAACCAGCTAAGATAATCAGACCACTTTAGACTGGTTAATAAAAGCGATAAACCACAAGAACCCTTGTTTTACAGTGATAGTGGCACAACGAAGCAGCTCATGGTGAAACATTGTAATTCACATCCTTTAATGAATGATCGTTTGATTAGAATTGAGTCTGAGTGAAATCACTTTTATTGGTTGCTTGGTTTCAATTCCAGCACAATTTTTCCAAAACAGCTTTGATATTTTGATATTCATTGTTTTTTCATCCTTTAACAAACCATTAGTTATAAAAATCATTTTGTTTAGGCAAAATTGATAAGCAAAATAATTTGGAAAAATGCAGCTCTGGGTATTTAGTACAAGTTTTCGCAATTTTTTTTGTTTAAACAAAATTTACGCAAATGAGGCATTATCTTATTAAATATGTACTAATTTGCATACATTTCCAGAACAGAAACTGGAGAAAGAAACTAATTTTGAGAAAACAGCCTTTAAAGATATAATAATGAAATCAGGGCAATGTTATATGAACAAACCTTTGGAATATAAATAGGAATAAAACTGTAAGGTTTGGTGTGTGAAAGTGCTACAGAAGTGGAGAAAAAACTCACTGTGTTTAAAGATATGCATTAAAATTGAAATCTACAGATGCAAATTGATAAAGTGCAATAAAATAAACACTTAAATGTGTATTTTAGATGTTTTCTTTCACTAGTCTGAAAGATATGGAAGTGTATTTCTGTGAGTTTACATCTTGCAATTCTGTTTTTTTAGTTACCATCATGGAATAAAACATTTAAAAAGACATTTTGGACTTTTTTTCTCAGAATTCTGGGTTTATATCCCACAATTCTGACTTTATATCTCGCAATTGCGAGTTTTGTATTTCACAATTCAGACCTTTCTTATCAGGAATATGAAAAAAAAATTAATCAAACTTTGAGAAACTCAGAATTGCAAGAATAAAATTAAAATTGTGAGAAATAAACTCAGATTTGCAAGAAAAAAATCAAATTGAGAGAAATAAATTCCGAATTGCAAGAAACAATTCTAATTGTGAGAAAAAACTCAAAATTGCAAGAAAAAAATTCAAATTGCGAGAAAAAAACTCAGAATTGCAAGAAAAATTTCAAATTGTTGGAAAAACTCAGACTTGCGAGATATAAAATCAGAATTGTGAAATAAAAAAGTACCAATTGCTTTTAAAAAAAAAAAAAAAATTAATTCCATGACAGAAACAAGCTTCAACACAAAGGTGGCATGTTATGGAAGCAAAATAGCCCAAAATGTAAAAATTGACCAGTGCACGAAAAAACAATTGCTTTAACTATAGTTGAACAAAAGAGTCATATTTTGGTTGTTCTGCATCATCAAACGCACCTGATTGCAAGATTCCTCATTCAGGCACAACACAGTAAAAATTGACCAGTGCATGAAAAAACAATTGCTTTACCTATAGTGTTTCGAAATAAATGAACAAAAGAGTCATATTTTTCTGTTTTGCATCATCAAACGACCTGATTGTGAGATTCCTCATTCAGGCACAACACAGTAAAAATTGACCAGTGCACAAAAACCCCCAAAACAATTGCTTTACATATAGTGTCTCACTTTAAATGAACAAAAAATTCATATTTTGTCTGTTTTGCATCATCAGACGCACCTGATTGTGAGATTCCTCATTCAGGCACAACACAGTAAAAATTGACCAGTGCACAAAAAACCCCAAAACAATTGCTTTACATATAGTGTCTCACTTTAAATGAACAAAAAATTCATATTTTGTCTGTTTTGCATCATCAGACGCACCTGATTGTGAGATTCCTCATTCAGGCACAACACAGTTTTGTTGGCATGGTTGGATCTGCACAGGTCTGCGTCTGCGTGCGTTTCTCCGTCTTCCGAGGCCGTTGGGCTTTGAGCGTCTACAGCTTCAGTCTGATCCGTCTCGCATGCATCGGGTTCAGCCGTCGATTCCTGGTCCTCCCTGGCTTTGGGCCGCCGCAGTCTACCGCTCCAGCTCTCCTCCTCCGTGATCTCGGACAGGTCGGCCATCATCATGCTGATGGGTGCGTGGGATGGTGGGCTGAGCTCTCGAGGGTTGTTGGAGTCCGGGACCGAGCAGGAGCGGTTCAGGGCTCTCCTGGCTCTCCCGGGCCTCCTCTCCTGACTCCTCCTGTGCACCGGAGAACTGTTCTGAGACCTGCTGTCTGAACTTCCAGACCACGGAGAGCCATTACAGAGTTGACCTCTGCGTCTCAGCAGCAGATCCTCGCCATCATATGAATCGGCAGAGTAGTTTCTGATCATGATCCGATCGCCGCCGGGATTCTCCGTGGAGTTTGATCTCCAGGCTTTGTGATCCAGAAACTGGAAACTGGATTTCTCCCATCCATCTTTGAACAAACAGAAAGATTTGACCGTGTGAGATTCTAGATCAGAGATTCACAAACTTTTTTGTCAGCCGAATCAATTTTCAGCTAAAATACAGTCAAACCAACATTTATTTAGACACCTAGTAAAAAATATATATATATCAAATATTATATCTGGTGTCTGAATAATTTTTGGTTTGACTGTACTTGAAGTAGAGACTTTAAGTTATTATTTCAATAATTTAACAACACATTTGCATGTTCATGGTTCTCATGTCAGTTAATGGTCACATGACATGCAGGTAAACAAATAAAACATATTTTTAATTATTTATTATATATTCTTTAAATGTATTATTCTCTGATGTCAGTTAATGATCGCATGACATGCAAGAAAACAAATAATTTATTTAAAATATTTTTATGATTTATTATTCTCTGATGTCAGTTAATGGTTGAATGACATGCAAGTAAACAAAATATTTTCAATTTTATTTTTATTATTTAGTAATTGTTATTACTTATTCTCTGAAGTCAGTTAATGGTTACTTGACATGCAGGTAAACAAATAAAATATATATTTTTAAT